ATTGTAATAGGGCATCTATTGGGGTTATATAGGGATAATGGAAACTACTATATTGTAAGAAGGTATATACTGGGGTTATATAGAAATAATGGAAAAGAAAATGGAAGCTACTATTTAGGGTTTAGCGTTTAGGGACCCCAACACAGGTGCAACAGCAACGGCATGCGGTATGGGTGCAAGAGGAAACTCAATAAATGTTTCTGACCCCCATAGTAAACGATTTCAATGTCCATCGGGCATGCAGCAAGGTATATGGTTTTGGGGGGGCCTTGATACTAAGGACCATAGTACACTCAAACCACCTTAATCTTGGCACCTCTCCATTTGCTTCCCGCAAAGCCTCAATCCCAAACCCTAAACCCCAAAACTCCAAACCCGGAACCTCAAACCCCTAAACCCCTAAGCCTGAGCCCTATACCTTCGGCAAGTCCTCCTCCACAACAACTGTCCTCAAAGGGCTTTACTAACTGGAATATATTTAGGGATCCATACAATTGCAATCGTTATGGCGCTATGAGGAATATTTGAGGACTGTGGCCCAAGATCAGTAAAAGTCATTGCAATGGAATCTCAGTGCAAGGGGGAATGACCCCGAACCCTAAACCCTAAACCCTAAACCCCAAACCCTAAACCCTTAACCTGTACCTTAAGCTGAGGGCATGGCGTCTGCTCGGCTTCGGCAAGTTGCTTTCGAAGCCTTTCGACCTTTGGTCAGATGACTTCCGTGTTTAGGAGGTCTTGGTTGATACCGTGGATACTAAACATCCTGCATGACCCTAAGTACCCTGAACCTTGGGAATAATGTAGACTGAAGTCAGGCAGGATTTTTGGGATCAACAGTATCTTGGATTTATTCGGGGAGCGAGCCCTTTTCCGACGCTCCGACGGAACGCCCTTTTAGGCGGGGCCAGAAGTTCCAGTTTACCCAAACCCCTCTGATCTGTTCAGCTCTTATGGTTTAGGGAGTCTAGGGTTCAGGGTTTATAGTCTCCCTTAAGTAGATAGAACATGGGGTATGGGGATCTTATTATCATATACCCAAAGCCATATTCTATATGCTGAAGGGGGACTGTAGGTCTTGGAGTTTGGGATTTAGACTTCCCAAGCAAACCCTAAACCCTAAACCCCAGGTATACGCACAACTTCGGGATTCATTCTGCAACCGTGGATGGAGGACTTCCTGTACCACTTAGAACACCGCAAAACACCGGGATCCTCAGTGATGCAAGATTTCCTCTATATTCAAGGGGGGTTTAGGGGTTTAGGGGTTTGGTTTAGGGTTTAAGGGTTTAGGGGTTTAGGGGCTTAGGGGTTTAAGATCCTGCAAACCCTTAGACCCTGAACCCTGAAC